AAGTATTCCCCAAAGACATGTAGCTGAGATTAAACCAAAAACTTGGTCTAAAGCTAATCTTACAGGGAGACAAGAATGTATAAAGATTCTTATGTATCCCATTCCTTTCACTTCAAATCATGTAGGCTTTTGTGTTTTCACATAAAAATCCTTACACATATTCATAAAAATATATCTTTATAAGGCTGTAACGTCACAAATTGGGGAAAAAGTTAGAGGAAAATTGGTTTTCCAGACATTTTTATAAATCTGCAAATAAAACAAAGAAATGCTGCTAAAACAAAGAAATTTCAACACAGGCTAAAATTTTAAAGTAAAAGTAGAGTTAATCCTCTAAAAATAACTAAAAGTGTTAAATACTCAAGAGCGGACACTGGATTCCCATCCAACCGTCTGCACAGCCTTATTTTCCTGTGATATAGTCACAACTGGCTTCGCTCTGACACTCACAAGTCTGACTGCAATTTTCCCCAAATTGACCATGTGTGTATTCTGATCATGCAAAACATAAATATGTGTAAAATTAAAATAATCTATAAGAAATCTCTAAAAAACGACACTGAATGTCCTCTTTAGCCATGTCAGTTAGGAATAAAAGCATAGCTAACAAAAAGCATTACATTTACTACTTAAAAAAGCAAAATGAGCAAATGGCAAAGATTGATCATTAACTCATATTAGTGGCTTTCTGCTGACTCTAACTCTGATAGCTGAAACCACAAAATTACTGCGGAAAGAGCAAAGCCCTGAATAAAGTTGCAGAATCACAGACTAAGAATTTTAGTGGGCAATTCACTGGCTTCATTAAAATAAAGGCATGACATCCTCAAGAAACTTCAGCATGAAAACACTTATTGGTTAGCTGCTAAAAGACTCTTCCAACTTATGTTCTCTCTTTCCTGATTCTGATCTCTGCATACATGTGGGTGCATTTATCCAGAATAGACCTCAATTAAACCCCGGGTGCCAGAGGGCATCTCGTCCTCCCTTCTCTCTCCTCCTTACCCATCCCTAAAAAAGTCATCGGCAATGTCTCATTATGTAGATAATTGTTCACAAACACATCTTAGTTGTGTTTAAGGAGAGGATGTCGTGAAGGGCCGCAGCGAGGGCCTCCCTCACACCCCGTTTTAATGATGTGGCTTCGATTACCCAGAATGCAGTGTGGTCCTGCCCAGCCGGCGGTGCACAGGCAGGCTCCTGTGATGTGGTGGCAGCGGGCAGCGTTCCTGTACTCGCACATCTGGCCACAGTCAGGACCGTAAAAGCTGTCCGGGCACGCTGTGGGCCCGAGATAAAACATCTGACTGGTTACTGGCACCATCACAAAAGAGGAAAGAAAAAGGTTTAAAAGCCAGCTTTTTTCACATACTTCCTTCTACCACCTCTTACTCTTCTCCTCCTACTTTCCCTCTCAGCACAGCCATCTCCCAAAAAATACCAATATCAAATTGCAGAACCACGCTGCGGTGGCAGCTGAGTGCCTGCGTTCGTTAAGTGAGCCCCTGTCCCCCACATGTGTGGTGGATCTGGGCCACATCAAAGTTTATGGTGGATCAGAGGCCTCTCCCCTCCTTTCTGGAGGGTAAAGAGGGCACGAAAAGCCGGTAAAGAGAGCACCTGCTGTGTCCACAGGCCCCTCAAACACACGGTAAAACAAAGCCTGATTACTGTTCTCCACAAACACACCTTAATGCTGCAGCAGAAACACCCAGATGCCAGGATGAGGGTCTGCTTCCCATTCTAAGTTAAGTCTAAAGAGATTTTTCAAGGGAGCACACAGTCAAGTGGCACTCAAAGAGTTTGCTAAACATGATTTCACTCACTCAGTAGCAATATGACAAAAATCACTGATTCCATTGTTGATCTATAAATCATAGTAAATGACAATGATTATCTTCTAAATGAAAATTAGACTGAATTTATATGCCACTATAGTTGTACTAACCACTTTAAGCGAGTTTCAATAAAGCCACATTCCATCCAATCACTCTCTCCAACCTGCACACATTCATACACTGATGCACACACTTGTAGGAAACTTGGGGTAAAGTGCCTTGCTCAGGGGCACATCAAAATGTGACAGGAAGAAGCTAAAATTGAACCAACGACTTTTGGATTGAAAGACAAAAAAACAGGCAGAGAGCGACCGTTTTACTGCTTCGACAATTCAAACTTGCAGACCAGTAAAAAAAAACATTAAGTAAACTTTCCCTTCGGTGTATGAGTTTAATGTTTGTGGTCAAGGATGTTTATTAGCAAGGTATATACAGGACCATGCAAGAGTTCAATTCAAGTTAAAAATTATAGTGTACTATAACAACTTTATTTATGAAGCTCTTTATGCACCGACAGGACCAAAGTGCTGTACACAATCATAAAATACAATGCAATTATAAAATAGAAAAGATAGAATCTAAAATACACAATAATATACAGACACAATGAAACGAAGTGAAAGTTCTCAGACTGTGCCAAAAGCCAAAGAAAAAAGATGGGTCTTATGAAGAGACTTAAAAACCAAGGAAGATCATTCCATAGCTTGGGAGCTGCCATGGAATAAATCATATGCATACAATTAATATGGCAAATAATAAGGGCTCCAATTCTGAAAGGTTCTAAATTCATTTCCGTTTTCAAAATCCATATGACGCAGTATCTGAGGTAAGTATAGAATCTGAATTGGGATTAGACTAGCTTTGATCCAGTGGAACTTTCTGAGTTGGCAAAATTCTGATCTTTATCTTAAGCCTTCAACTTGTATGTTAGATCCAGTTACAACCAAGCTATTTAAGGAAGTATTCCCTCTTACTGTAAATTTATCTAAAATTCTCGAGAAAGAAAATGTCACATATGTTTGTGATCACTTACACTATAATGAGCTTTAGCATGAGTTTTACTCTGGTTTTAGAGCTCATCATAGCACAGCTCTGGATAAAGTCAATAATGATATTCTCATGGCCTCAGATAATGAACTTGTATCTGTACTTGTCCTGTTGGATCTCAGTGCTGCATTCAACACAGATAATCATAATATTATTTAGAAAGATTTAAATATATTGTAGGAATAAAAGGAACAAAATTAGACTAGTTTAAATCTCATTTATCTGACTGATTTCAATTTTTTTACGTTAATGATAAATCTTCCTCATGCTCCAGGGTTACCTGTGGAGTACCACAGGGATCAGTGCTAGGACCAATTCTCTTTACTATATATATGCTCCCAATTGGTAGAATTATTAGACAGCATGGGATTAATTTCCACTGTTATGCTGATGATACTCAGCTATATATGTCTATAGATCCAGATGAAGCTAAACCCTTACTTAGACTACAGACATGTCTTGAAGACATAAAAACCTGGATGACTTAACTTTCTGCTCCTGAATGCAGACAAACAGAAGTTATACGTAGTCTTTGGACCAGAGTCTTTGAAAAAGAAGCTGATTAGTCCGACACCTCATCTGAATGGGATTAAATTAATCTTAGATAATAAAGTAAGAAATCTTGTGTTATTTTTGATCAGTCAAAAACAGATGGCCACTAACACTGAGACTGGTTCTGATGAAGATTTTCCTCCTATTAAAAGGGAGCTTTCCTCTCCACTGTCACTACAAGCATGCTTGGTATGAGGCATTGATTTTGAGTCAATAAGTTGAAGCAATCAGCTGTTTATCCTTAGATAGAAACTTTGAAACAATCTGACTATGTGATCTGGCTGAATTGTCTCTGTAAAGTGCCTTTAGATGCTATGTGTTGTGAATTGGTGCTATAAAAATAAACTGAATTAAATTTATTTAATACTTTGATATACCTTTGGCAGCGATTAAAACCTCAAGCCACAATTTCAGCCACCTATCCTTAGGCTCATTGTTAGGGCTGGTGAGAGATGTTTGTACACAGCCCTTTTCAGATCTCTTCACAGATTTTTACTTGGATTAAAGTCTGAACTCTGGCTTGATAGATCCAGGACATTTACAAAGGATTTTTTAAAGCCACATTTGAGATCTTGGCTGTGTGCTCTTGGTGGTTGCCCCAGTTTAAGATAAAGAACACTCTGAAGGAGGTGTAAATCTCTCTGTGAACAGTTGTATTGATTTTTTCCTCTGTCCTCTCTAGACTCTCAGTTCCTGTGGCCAAAAATATCCTCATATCATGATGCTGCCACCACCATGCTTCACTGTAGCGATGGTATTTGGCCTTATAATAAGAAGTGCCTGGTTTCCTCCAAACATGACTGGAATTCTCACCAAAGGGCTCAACCTGTCTTATTAGACTAAAGATTTAGTTTTTTTCTCATGTGCAGATATCCATCCAGGTGCCTTTTGGAAAACTCAACCCAGGGTGTCATCTGCCTCTTATTAAGGAGTGGCTTTCATCTGGCCGCTCAGCCATAAAGGCTTCATTGGCAGATTGCTGCAGAGATGGTGGAGCTCTGGCAAGGTGTCGATGGGTTCTTGGTCGGCTCCCTGGCCAAAAGTGTTGTAGTTGGATGTGTGTATATATTATATAAAACTGTAACTGGAGCGTGTAACAAAAGTAATTTCCCTCTGGGATTATTAAAGTATTTCTGATTCTGATTCTGAATCCCAATTACTCTGGGGTCTGTGATTGTTCCACTGATGAATGATTTAGTTTTATTCACTCTTTTGAGCCTTTAAGTATTTCTGAACTTCCCCTTATTTTTGCATCAAGAAATGCTTTTTCAGAAGTCTACAGACAGTTACTATGACGTTATGCTCAATGTTTGCACTCTCATATGCATTGTTTGTTGTTTGGGATCCAGTAATATACAGACATGTGCATACCTTTCCTTATCACATCCATTTACCGTACCTAAATTCCCCATATGTGGAATTCATGTAAATTGTAAAAACATTTAAATGATGATCAGTAGATACAGTTTGCTCCTCAGCTCAGTTTTTAGCTGTAAGACAAAGGCTTGTTTTTTTGTTACATGTATGAGATTTTTCAGGTTTCTTTTTGTAATACATTTGCAACAATCTCACATTGTGATATTGAGTTATCTGTTGAACTTTGAGTAGATATATATTTTTTAGTACCATTTAAAACATGAATATAGCATAGCTAATTTTGGACAAAGTACGGCACTGTGAATATTTTACAGATGCACTGTAATATCATCGGAAAACATATAATGTCCTTTGTTACCAACATCTGGACCAGTCTGGCTCTTACAATATAACAGATAAGGACACTTAATCAAATCATATTTAATTCTTTTGGTTGATTTGATATACTGGAATCATACTGCTGCATTTCCCTACAGTTGACTAGTAGTAGGTTATGGAGCCTTATTTTAGATTATTGGTTGTCTAAGTCAGTGATTCCCCAACCAGAGTTACTTGTACCCCTAGTGGTCCAGGTGGTTGCAAGGGGTTGATGAAAATATGACGAGGCAATTAGTGACCCATCAGAACCCCCTAACTACCATTAACACCCCACATGTGACCACCTTGGGCAATCCAGTAGAAGAGATAAAAGCAGCCTTTTGTCCCCCCTTATTCTTTATAACAACTACAGTATATTAATCCTAGTGCTACCTACTACTTGTTTGTCTCTAGTAGCCAAATGTCTTCTAGAAAACTTCACATCCAGTTGTCTAGACTGAAATTTTTCAAGCTTATTTAATATATAAAAGTTACAGTAGGAACAATTTCATTTTAAAAATTGTCTAGTATATCAGTATTGGTACATTCCAGTTTCAGATTAATGTAATAGCTTTCTTGCATTCATTATGTTCCTTGTGCTCAATTGCAATTGCCAAAATCTTGTGCTAAAAGAATGAAACAGTGGTGAACTGGTGATAATGTAATGAAGTGATTCCCAACCGGGGGTACTCGTACCTCTAGTGGTCCGGGAGTGCATTGCAAGGGATACATGGAAATATTTTGTTTTATAGGTAGTAAAATAAAATGGGGCTTTGTGAGGACCCAATAGAAAAATTAAAGAAGCTTTTATCAACCAAAAAGTAAGTTTTTCTTATGTGTTTGATTTTACCTTCAGCTTTGTCACACGTCAAAACCAAGCAGAGTAAAAGGCTGGATGTAGAGAACAGACTGGGATCAACTGTTTTTTACACTGACCAATCAGAGCTCATCAAAGCAGCTCAGGTGTCTTGATGAAAACAAAGTAAAACTAAATAATTCAGTCTTACTATAATCGTTGTTCTGTATTTCATTCCCAAGTCATCAAGATACTCAGAGGAGCTCCAGGTTTATAATATGATTTTATTTTGTATTTATTTAGATTCCTTACTAACTTCA